ATGTTGAAATAATGTTTTCAACTCTCATTCTGAATGTTTTTCACTAGGAGAATCCTCTCCCACAGACTGCCAATCTGGGTCCCTGAGCAAGACCCTTAACCCTGCACAATGGCAACCAACTGCCCCCTAAGGGGGGTGGTTTAAATTCAGAGGGTTCATTTCATTGCTCTGTACTTGTGACAATGTCATGACAATAAAAGCTGGTTGAAAAAAATAATCTTTTCAGGTGCTTTATTAAGCTACTGATTTTACTGTAAGCACTAACAGGTTGATAAATCCCCAAATATATGAAATAAATTATTTAAAAGTGGAAAAAAAATACAATTTTGTTACACTTATACAGTGTCTGACAATTTATACTAACAACCTCAATTTATACTAACAATAAGGGTGGTAATGTGAAGTTACGGCATCTAATACTTACCCAGACAAGTGTTAACACTCATACAGGAAATTGTTGGGTAAATTTAGAAAATGGAAATTCTGTTGTTGAAATGGTCTTGGTTCTGTTGAAGTTTTATCTTTAAATCTGTATGGTTGTTTTTTTCATTTTGTGTTATCTTTGTTATGTTTTATTGTATTTGAGTTCTTAGGTATTTCTTGTTTGCCCTCTGTTGCCCTCTTGTATTGGTCTTCTTTACCCTTGCTCCCTTCTAGATTCCTCTGTTTCCCTCTGCTCCCAATCAGCTGATTACCCTCGTCTTTGTTTCTTTCTATCATATATGCATCACCTGCTCAGTCACTGCTTGCTGGTTTGTCGTAATTTCTTGGCTTCCTTGTTGTGAGTATTCCAGGTTTTCCGTATTTTTGCAATTTTGTGGATTGTGTTTGGGTTTTTTTCTTCTGTTAACCTTTTTGTAACTAAACCTGCAAGAAACCACTTCAGCTTCAGTCTCTGCATTTGGAAATGAATGAAATTAGTAATCAATAATCCTTCTTGCATTTTCATTTTCTTCTTCAACACTGCTGATCCTTTTACTTAATTTAAATGAAAAAGAAAAAGACATTTGAGATTTATTTTTCAAAATGTACCCCAGCAAATACATACCAAAATTCAATTTGAAATGTAAAATTTGAAAATGAAAGAGCATTTCCAGAAATGCTTTTTCATTTTAAGAATGTGGCTGCATTACTTGACTCATAAATAAAATTATCAATCAATCATGCGATTTGCATTTTCATTTTCAAGACTGCTCATCCTTTTACTTAATTAAAATGAAAAAGAAAAAGACATTTGAGATTTATTTTTCACAATGTACCCTAGTAAATACATAACAAAATTCAATTTGAAATGTAAAATTTGAAAATGAAAAAGCATTTCCAGAAATGCTTCAAAAAAAGAGGTTATTTGTTTTCTCCGATATATGGATCAGAGTATTCCTAACTGCACTGAACTGCATAAACCACTCCGCTCATATTTGGTTTGGGGGTTTTGTCCTTAGGATGCACTAGCCTCTGTCTAAGGGTTTTGTTAGGTTTGAAATGTACTGGTATTTTGTGTTTGGAGTTAGTGTTAATATTATGACTTTAGAGGGATTGACTTTTATGATGCTAAAATAAAGCATAGAGAGGTTGAATCATCTTATGAGAACAATTAGAAAACTGCTTATTTAAGAGTCATACTTTCCTGACTTATATAAAAAGGAGCAATAGGCAGCAAAAGGCTGATGTACAATAGTTTACATTAAAACCTTGTTACTGCAAAATGTACAAGTTTTCAGCGGGACACCATGACCAAACAAGCCTTGCTTGTTCGCTCCTGGTGCCTTTTTTACCCTGGTCTAGAGCTGGCTAGCTGCACAGAATAAATCAACATGTTAACTTGTGTGTTACAGCTTTTGTGAAACAGAGCTGAGACTTAATTAAGTCAAGATATCCTGAGCAAAATGTTTGTTTTTTGTTTTTTCCACAAGAGAAATTGCTCACAAAAGTAAAACTAATATGAGACTGATTCTTTGCTTGTTCTTGTTTACTTGCAAGCTGGTATTGGCACCTAACAAGATGTGACAAAACTTTTAATATGTTATCATTTGATTCCTTGTTGACTTATTAGGTAATAATAACTGTAGTGTATGAAAGTCCCCCTGATTCTGCAGATAGGGCTTGGTGGCTTACAGATGCTGCTTAGATGTTGTAGTGTTGGCTGTTGCCCCCCTGAAGCGATCACTCTTTTAATAGCACTTCAATAACACTTTTTAGTACAGTAAAGAACTCCTACACAAGAGCTGATGAAGATTCTCAGTCATCCAGGTCATAGTCATTCCATAAAAGTTCAAAAAATCCAGTGGACTTGGTTTCCAAGATTTGAAGAAGTTTCGCTACCTCTCCAGGAAGCTTTCTCAATACAAATGTCTGGATCTGCAGTGAGTTTGAGTCTTTATAGAGACAAGGCCTTGTATTGCTTGAAAAACATGCAAATTGAAACCGATGAGTGGGTTGTTTGGTTCCATTGTTAGCCTGTAATATCTGAAACCTTTTGCATGTTTCATTTTGCATGCTTCCCACCAATACAAGGCCTTGTCTCTATACTGAGCTAACCTGAGGTAAAGCTACTTGCTGCACTGTTGATTTCCCCCCCATTTTAAAATGAATAGCAACAAATTACAATTGAGTGTAAACTTTACGGTAGTATTCTACTTAATAGAAACATAACACACTGAAATAATTCTTTCTGTTGTTATAAAACCAGTCTTCATGTGATTGTTACTCCTGGTTTATGCTTGACAAATCTACTGTACACCTCGAGATAACCCTGCATCTCAACAGGATTTAGCCTATAGAGCTTATAAGTGTTGTGGCAGAGGCTTATATATTTATAAATATACAAATATTTATAAATAATCTTATCGCTAAAGGACTAACTCATCATAAAATACTAGTCTACAAAGACAGACCATGCTGTACTAATTATCTTAAGAGATTATAGAGCATAGGGCTGGGCGATATAGAAAAAAAGCTTATTGATAAAAAAAAAATTCATATTGATCGATACCGATAATTATTGAAAAGATTTGAAACCATATTTTATGTGCAGCTCTGCCTGGACTTTTTATAATATTGCTAAATGATTTAATTTTAATAAAAAACACAAACAGACTTTGAATTAAATCTTTATTTAACCAACTTTTTTAACCATAACAGAATTGTTTTAAAGAAAAATAACTTAAGAGACCTGAGTTATGTTATTAAATACTGACAAAGACTAAACTAAAGTGACCAGAAAAGTGACCAAAATAAATATAACAAATAAATAAATGCCCCCCCACCGCCGCCCCTGTTTCCTGCTTTAACCTGAGTTATTACTTTGAAGTTGCTGGCCCCTCAGCATTTTTCTCTGAATTGTTAGAACTACGTGGGAAACTGCCCAGAACTGAAAAAATATATATATATTTTCCCGAAATTCCCGAAGATTCCTCGGAGGAGAGCCGCGCCGGGGCCTACACAGCTCGTACTCTACACAGCTCGTACTCCTGCGGCTGTGAGCGGCTGAGATGATAAAAAAAAAAAAAAGTTGGTTGTGTTATCAGACTTGGTTTTCACTGGTTCCCTACACATTTTACAGATGACTGTGGTTTGTTTTTGGTCCGACTTGCCATGACCGAAATACTGCCAGACTGCCGAACTACAAAAACCCTTCTTTGGAACAATTTCCTCCGCCTCTCCTTGCTGCGACATCTTCATGTGCTCTGTGTTGTGGTTTGAGAGGGCGGCGCTTGGTGACGGCGTGCCTGGGTCCGCGATTGTGATTGGTTGGGAGGAAACAGTGACTAGCATAAACCTACATGCTAGGCTACAATAAGAAGGAAGGAAAACTGCGTTTCTTTTTTATCGAACTTTTATCGACCCTCTTTTTTTCTATTGCGCCACACTTCTATCGATCGATATATATCGTTATTGAATTATCGTCCAGCCCTAATAGAGCACCATAGTTACATTGGCTGGAGACCCTTGGCTTCAAATGCAGAGATGTGGTGTAATGGAAAAACAGCTTCATTAAATGTGTGATGTCATAACACGCTGTATATATGGACACAAGTCCTTAGAAATGTTAGCTCCTTAAGAATCGACTTTAAACAAAGATGTTAAACAGCCTTAAGATGAAAGAGGAAGTCAACAAAGTGTTAGGAGAGTGGTTTCACTTTGGTTTACTTTATATTACAGCCAACCTTCTGTAGTATATAAGCAGAGAACTAACCCTGGTAATGCACTGAAAAGAAAGATATCACTTGTCCCTCCCAGTTACAGTAAAATGCTCTCATAATGTTACAGCTCATTTCCAATAGGTCATTGCGCTACAGGGCATTTAGTGCAGATAATTTCACTGCAAAATAAAATGTTAAGGTTTTAAAAATTGTGCCATGCTGAGCAACTCTGTCAATCACATTTTTCTGCTAATTGCTCCCTCATTAGAAATGAATCACATTGATGGATAAAAATTATGGGATAAATCTTAGCACTTAGTGAATCATTACTGCATGTCAATCAAGAACATTCGTTTACCATCTACATAATGCAGTCCAAAGGTATACGCTCATCTCTGCCTCCATTTAAAGCAGCAAAGGTAAATCATTAGTATGGGAATATATTGCTTAAGAGGGGTTAAAGCTCACTGCACCTTCAGATGAGCAAACAGGATTTTTGAATACACAAACCAAATCACTCAATAAACAGTATTTTTGTTATTTACCTGGTATTTCTGTAAAAGTAGGTATAATTTTTCCATGTTTCTTGTTTTTCTACAGTCATTTAGACCAGTTTAGTAAATGTTTTAAAATGTGATAAGCAGTACACAATGCACTCTATTTGATCTGGGTCTAATATAGACAGGAGGCAGGGAAAAACAGGCAGCTACGGTACTCTGGTCCGAGCCTGAACACGCCTCAGATGTACAAGAGTGAGCAACAAAAAGAACAACAGCCACAGCAAAGACATCATCACAGGAGGCCTGGCCGCAAAACACGTGTTCTGTTAGAGAAAACAAACTGTCAAAAACAACTTACCTCCAAGCTGTGCAGTTTTTACCAATCAGCACATCCTAGGGCTTCTACTGATAGAGCAGTTTTTACCTGGCAGGCCCTTATGGGTCACCTAAGAGCCGTGCTAACTTGGATTTCTCACTCCCTTGCCTGCCTCTTTGAGCTGCTGTCCTCTTTCACCCACAATCATAAAATATGCAAATGATCTCTGAAGAACACAGCTTAGTGACTGTAACCACAGAAAATCCCCAGCCAGGAAGCACACAGGAGAAATGCATTACACAGAAGGTTCCTGAAAGCTTAGCCCTACAGCGGTCTCTGTTAGTTAGTTCTTCTGGTTTCTAATGAAATGAGGAGGGTAAACAGGAGCACTGACCTAGAATTCATTCGCCTTGTGCCTCCTAGGTAACTTTGGGATTCATTTGCCTGTTGACTTTGCCGTTTCTGAACTAATTAGTCTGAATTAATCCTTTACTTTTAATAAATAAGGCATTAGTCAGAGAGGTAGAGACCAGATGGGATCGTAAGAAGTTCATTCATTTGTTCATTTGTTTACTGAGGGATGAGGCCAAGACGCACATGTTGATTATATTGTCGATGCTCAGCTGAATGCGTCACATGGGGGCGAGCAGCTAAGTGCATCAACCGTAGGCTTTTATAGCAACAATATAATTTGGTAACAAGGGGGCTAAGAGTTTATTATTGTAGGTGATAAAGAATAATACCAAAGGTGCACTGGGAGGATATAACCATGCAGATGAGATGGGTGTTTACTGAAAGGATGGGCAGGAAATTAAAGAGAAAACCCTCACACTGAATGATACTTTTGTCCCGTTTGTTTCATGCTATTTCAACGTGATCTTTACAGGCCATGTTCCAGTGTAAAAGATCTACAACACTAAAAAGATCAAGAACTTTATATCTGTTTTAGAGAGCAGTTACATCATAATTATGTTGACAAAGTACATTTTTAAAAGCTAGACTTTTACAGTGTCTTTCCAGTAAATGATTATATTTTGATCCCAACCTTACCATTGTAGCTTTATATATATTTGGCTAATGTCCTGTTCTCTTAGGAGAACTGCTTTAAATGTTTTTTTTCATACAATATTTTCCCATATTCTACATGAGCCTTCTTTCTGTGAATTCTGACCAGCATAACTGTCCTTCCTAAAAAGTGAGCATCTACAGTAGGCGATCCGGATAAAGATGATGCTTTGTAGGGTTCCCTTAGAGTTAGGAGGTTTTGTTTTGATTTTGTTCATGAGCTCTTTTTCAAGAGAAGAACTCATGAGTATCAGGGGATCAACTCCAGGTAATCCAATTACTAATTCTCTCCAGCCTGACACAGCCAGACTGCATTACATGGAGCATAATTAAGTCTGTTAAACCGCCATTGACACCAACCAGACCTGACAAGACCAATCGCAGCATGTCACTCTCGATGCATCACTTTTAGCGTCTTTTCTGCTAGCATAACAGCAAGATGGTGACAGCGACAAAGCAAAGTTTTGACGATGGCCTTTCTGATATCCAAGGGAAGATTTATCTAACTTAAGGACCTCAACAAAGGACATATTTAGTTTTATTTATGTCTAAAAAGAATATAATTGTTATTCTTGGCTTAACCTCTTTCACTGGCCTCTTGCTAAATTACAAAAACAGAGCACATTGCTTATACTCATATATATATACATATATATATATATATATATATATATATATATATATATATATATATATCATGGAGACTCCATCATGGAATAAGCTCCTACAGAATAAGCTCCTACACCACGGGCTGTACGGAACATTTTCAAGTGGCAGTTATTATGAAATCAGGCTCCTTCCCAACATAAGAGATGTTTTTATGATTTGAATCCAATTAGACTATAAAACTGAAAAAAAAGGAGTTGACGTACAGACTCATTTTATAATACATGGTTTTCTCAGTAAAGTGGCTTACATAGTCATGGCAAGCCTTTTTAGACTGAAGTTCATGGCCACAGAGATAGGAGAGTTTGTTAATGAGTGAAAAATAGTTAAAGGTTTTTATTGGGAATTATATCTGTGAAGACTTTTTTTTATAGATTTCATAGTGAAACTAGAGTCTTATCTTTTGTTGTTCAGCTTATTTGTACTATTATTTTCATTTGCATCTGCTGGAGCATTTCTCCTTGAAGATTTTACACATTAAGTGCAGTTTTTAATTGAGGATTTCATTCATTTAGTAAAGACAGCTATTGGTTCCAACTTTGTCCCATGTAAACATTATTACCCCCTAGCTGAGCTGGGAATTGATAAACCACAATTTTTGGAAGTTTGACTTAACCTCTTACACCCTAAGGGGGTATAAATAAATTTCTGCCTGACAAAAACACACAAAAGTAAATAACTTATAGCCTCAAAGCTATTAGATTTAAGAAGAAACTTTTGGTACGTCTGTAAAGGTAAGATGTCATAGAATGGTTTTCTGGTGTCAGCACCATTGTAGCTTTGACCCTGCCTGAAATATTAGGGACAAAATACAAAATATTTTGCATTTTTTGAACCTCGCCAAAATTTTCTTTGAAATAAACATTGCAAAACACTACCAAAATATTATTTATAGCACAAAAAAGTAGTACAGACTTTTAAATCTAAATGTTGTGTAAAAAATATACCAAATCTGGACTCAATCAGATGAATCATATTTATTTTAGAATTTATTTATTTTATTTTGAGAAATTTCTTAGGCGGAGAGGCCATTTTGGCACATTTATCCATAAATGTCACCAAACTGTGCCAAATATGTTTTTTACATCAATACTGGGGGTTTGGTAAGATTACGTAGCAGCTGGACCCGCCGGTGGGTCCGTAGGGTTCAAGGGGTTAAAATTTTCAGGCTGCAAAGTCTTTGAAGACCTGTTGACTCAAGAAACTGGATGGATGGACGCACGGACAGATAGATGAAGTTCATCCAGACTGATAATGGGCCTCTTGGCTGCATCTCTGATCAGTCTTCTCCTTGTTTGAGCTGAAAGTTTAGAGGGATGCATGGGTTGTTGTAGATTTGCAGTTGTCTGATCTTCCATTTCAATATTACTGCTTGCACAGTTCAACTTAGGATGTTTAAAGCTTGGGAAATATTTTTTATCCAAATCTGGCTATACAGCCTAAAATCATTTAGCATACCAAATGGTTTACCCTAATGCTATATAACTCTAAATAATAATAATCTTTTATAAGAAACTAAGTTTTTCAGTACTTGCAATCACTCAAAGGTCAGTGTGACTTGTTCTTCAGTTGAAGGTCCATACTCTCAATTAGTTACACACATTTGAGCTCATAGAGCCCAGGTGAAGACTGACTGCTCAAAAGTAATTGCTTCGACTAATTAAGTACTGCTGCTCAAAGAGGCCAGTGCTGTGGATTACGGTTTCAGTTCCAAGGTCAGTAAACCTTGTTTTGTTCTCCCAAATACTATAAAAACAAGGACTGCCACTTTTAAAAAACAACGTGAACACAAACATGCCTAAGTCATTGAGTAAGTAAGGCAAAGTAGTGGAAATATATCAGGAAATCAGATTTTACTATACACTACATCATTTATTCTCTTTGGGACTTCTACATTGAATAATTGGAGAGCCATTAATCATTCTGAAATTTATGCAGTTAGTGAAATAATTTGTAAACTGTGTGGATTCAAGTGTCCAGGAGAAAGATTAACAAAGTACAATGAATAAGGCATTTGGACAAAGCCCCAAATGTAACAAGGAAAAGACAGATTAATTAAACAAAGCTGGATTAAATGTTCTCTTCAATTTGACTTTTACTCTAATCACATTGTGAAAAGACTCCCCAGTGGAGGCGTCTAACACTTTATACCATCCCTCTATTCACAAGAGTGCCTATGTCTCCTGTGACTTGGAGTGAGGTGTCTTTCTCACAACAATAGCTACGTTTACATGGACACAACTAATCGGATTGAAGGCCTGATCAGATAAAAAATGTTTCATGTAAAGATGTCAGACTGAAGATTCTAATCCGATTCGGTCCGATCGGATCTAAATTTAATTCCGAAAGAGAGAGGTGGTTTTTGCCGATCGCCATTCCGGTTGGCGTCCATGTAAACACCCATTCGGATCTTAAGAGTAAAATAATCTTCACTGCGCATGTGTGCGACGTCAGCGTGACGTTTTTTCCGCCTTGTCAACAACAGGAAACCACCGGTCGCTCTCGCTCTTGTTGTGAACAACATGGCGGGAGGAGTCTAGGAACGCCGACTTATACACTCAAGTTCATTTAAAGCTGCAGGAAGCAGGAATTTATCCTCCTCCTCTTCCTCTTCTTCCTCTCCACAGCCCACTCGCTCTCCCACGCCGGTTCAATCGCTCATTCTGTACATTTTCTCTCGGACATTTCGCTGCCAAGCGCTTTTTTCCTCCTCTCTCCTTTTTTCTTTCCGCTCGCTCCGAGCGCATCGTTTGTCAGGCCTCCCAAAAACCAGACGCAGACAGAACTGCCAAGTTTGGCAGGAAGTTCTGCGCATGCTTAAAAGATTTAATCTGATCCAACGCTTGGTACATGTATACCCACGTCATGATCGGATCATTTCATTTAGTGTCCATGTAAACGGAGATTTTGAATTTACGATCAACCAAGGTTTGGATCGGATCGGGGAAATTTTGCGCATGTAAACGTAGCTAATGAAGCAAAAACATTTTGTGGCATGTAATGTTTTTATTGGCCTGGTAAGACAAAAGGGAAGAAAAGATAGTAAAGAATTACTTTTATTTGCATCACAGTTCAACTTGTCCGAATTTGCATTGCTAGGGGCCTGTGTCTGTTGGGTTTCACTTCAACTTAAAGTCAAAGCAATAAAGATTACAGATAAATAGGCAAGTATGGGGACAGAAAAATGCTGGGCTAAAACACCAACGTCCTTCCAAAGAAATATGAGTCAGCATACTACCCTGGTGTTAGGTTTTACAGTTTCCTTTGTTAAACAGCTGGGAAAAAAATATTTATCTGGTTGACTACGGATAGCATTTTGATAACTAATCTTAGCTAAGACACTTTGCCTGCTTCATTTAGTGATGGTAATTTCAAAGCCCCATGAACCAACTAACCAAATTAACACAATTTGCCAAAATTCCACACCATGCTCAAAACATTTGAAACGGTTAAGTATGGAGGCATCTGCTGGATAGCAATCAGAACTACAATTTAGCGGGAATCGTAATTTCCGCATTATTTTATTG